GGTATCCATTTACATCTAGGTGTTAATTTCATTACCTCCTTGAAGCCAGCTTGTATTTGGATCAGGTATTAGTGATAGAGACAAGTGTTTCCTTCTTGGACATTTCTGTTACTAAACCCTTACTGTAGTAATGTCGTCAGAGGAGTGTAGGTCAATGAATGAAGAAGTGAAGGGGGCGGTTTTTCATGCACAGGGTGAAAAATAATTCCAGCATCATCTGGAGGTAGAGCAGATACTGCTGGAAATTGGACATGAGTCGACTTGGTGGGTCAGGGGCCTCACTTCTCCCTTCCTTTCACCTTTCCCTGGAGAACTGGAAGTGGAGGGAGGGAGGGAGTAATGACGACAAAGCTTACCATTAGAGTACACGCCTTTTGCTCTCTCCAAACAGCGCACCTCCCCTAAACCTCACCGAGAATTGAGCATTGATTGAAAAACCAGCACTAAAAGGAATCTCTCCGGACCCCAAACTGAGTTTGGGCGCTCGGGAGCCCCGAAGAGCACTTCGGTGGGCTGCGCGATTTCTTTGCTATCGAGACTCGGTCTCAGCTGATGAGAATACTTAAGAGACTTGTTGTTGGAGGAGGAGAATGGTAAACAATGGCCAACATGTGGGATAGTGCTGTGTGTGTGCAAATCCACGACAGAAGCAAGCCGCGAGGAATCGCGGTTCGGGATCGCTTTCTCCATGGGGCCTGGGTTTGCAGCTGCAGCCGGAGACCCGGCAGGAAGGAAGCCCTCGAGAGTGCAGCGGTCCAGCCCCTGGCCGACTGAATTTACTCCCGTAAATTACTCTTTGTAAACTTATACAGGTTATAATTTATTGTTTTTATTAACCCAGATCAGAGGGAGAGGCGAGAAGAATAGCAGGGCAGATAACGAAGAGAGTGGAAGACGGTAAGGGAAGGAAGGGAGGAGAGAGGGAGCCACAGCCAGCGAGTAAGGTGCTGCCTGGTGACTCGGCAGCTCTGATGTCCACGCCCCCAATTAGGATGTACCTTCTTCCCAAACTGTTACAAATTAAGGCAGCCAAATAAGTACCCCCCTTGGTGCTAGGATTGGGCCCTTGCTCACCCCCACTCTCCCGTCTATTTCTGTACTTCTCGCTAGGTTAATCTTCTAGCTAATAATAAAGTTTTTTTAATTTTTATTTTTTAGCGCATAGGAAGGAAGTCCGGATCCCGCCTGTTCGGAAACTTGGGGACCACCTGAAGCAACTCCCATTCAAGGGCCAAGAACAGACTCTCTTGTGTGCCAGGGCTCACCTCCCGTGTCATGTCTTGAGTGTGGGAAATCAATTGTAAGGGTTAGAAACTCTTATGGCCACCGTCAAGTGTAAAAGAAAAAAGAAGTCTATCTAGAGAACGAATTCCTAACGCATAGAATTTTTAAATTCAGAATTTAAAAATAAGTAACTGTTTATAAATACAAGTAGCTACGTCAGGTAAGTGGAAGTAGCAAGCTCTCTCCAAACATATATATGTTACATATGTATAGTGTGAACAGGCTCTAGGCTGAGAAAGCACAGCGGGAACCGACAGAATGCGTTTAAAAAAAAATCTTTGGGAACCATCTAATTTAAAAATGCACAGAGGAAAATAAGGAAGAGGAACTGACTACGCTTTTCAATGCCCACCCCCCTCCCGCGATAGTTTTGCTAACTGGCTGGACACAGATTCCACTAGGTACCATTCGCAAGGCTCTTGTGTCCTTCCCTCTCTCCCCCTCCTAGTTCCTGAGAGGAGCCCGCTCTGATAACGTTCTTCCCTGGATGACTTTTATTTGAAATAGAGCCGTGCTAGTCATGCCAGAGGCCTGACAGTTTAATTCAGTTTTAATCGTTTCCTTAACATAGCTCATACTGGGAACAGACATTTTCTCTCTTAAAGTGACGAGAGGCACACGCTCCCCGGTACACATGCCCACCCACGTTTACACCCTCGCAGGTGCACACACGTGCATCCACGCACATACAGGCACGTGCACGGGCGCACCCTGTTGACTTTTTCTCCCGCCAGTTTGCGCCCTGTCCCCGCTTCCTTTGCTCTCTTGACTGGCAAAGTGCAAGGCCCTGGCTCGACTCTGGCACGTGCGTGCCACGCATTTGAGAAAACGCCTGATTAGGGTGGTGGCTTCGCCAGCGCTTCGAAGGCCGAGACTCCACCAGCCTGCAAACCCGCCTTCCTTCCCTCAGGCTCCTGGAGAAGCTCGGCTTCCCCTCTTGGGAGCGAAGGTCGGGGGTGAGCTGAGGTCTGCGACCTTCTGCTTCGTGGGGTCGGGGGCAGCTGGTCCCGCTGGGTCCCGGAGTCTGAGCCGGATTCCATGCGAGCCCAAGGTGGAGAGTGGCGGTGCGGCTCTATCGCTGTGGTTCCCAAAGCCCAGCCTGGACTTGGACTAAGGAGACCAGAGTTGGTCCTGTCCCGGGCGTCCAGGGCACATCTGGATTATTTTTAAAGGCCATGTTCTATCTGATATAGTGGATGTGTGTGAGGCCCGGCTTCCCAGCTTGTCTGTGGGGCGCAAGTCCCCGGCGTCCCGAGGGCTGCGCCCCTCGCTGCCCGGGGTAAAGGAGAAAGAAGCGGTGTAGGGATATAGGAGACCTTGGGGCCCTGCAGGCCCGTGTCGTCCCTTCTAAATCAGTTTTGAGCTGCGGGGCCTGTAAACGGACAAGAACCCATCTACAAAGCAGGCTTCGCGTCTGGAAAACCGCGGTCGTCCCTGGCGGCCTGGGGTTTCTCTAGAGGAGCCGTTCCCCCGGAGTAGGCCTCAGGGCCCCAGCGACTCCACCCTTGGGCCTCAGCGCCTCCACCTCTCCAAGTCCGCAAGGGCAGCTCAGAGGAGCCTCGGGTCGTTCCTCCTTGGGGCCACTGAAAACCTGGGCGTGGAGCGGGGCGCCCGGTCCCCGCAGGCTGCGGATGCTGGCTTCAGATGCCCCGGACGCGCGGAGCTCGGTGGGCAGCCTCCTGCCAGGTCTGCGGCCCTCCCTCCAGCGCATCCCTCCCCACTCCCTGCCCCAGCCCTCCAGGCGGCCTCTTCGCTCTGCCGGGCTTGCGCCCGTCTTCGGGCAGGCTTCAGAAACCAGGTTTGCGCTTACTTTTAAGGCTGTACTACCCGCCTAAGTCGCCGCGGACTCTGGAGGTCCACCGAGGTCCGGACCGCTCCAGACCGTTCGCAAAGCCAGTTTTTGCAAATGCAAAACACCTCCTCCTAGTTGAGTCTGGTTCTCAATCTTTTAAAAGAGGCCTTCTCTTCAGGTTGTTAGGGAGTCGTGTTTGACCCTGAGGCTGCTGGGACCGCCGGGCGGCGCGTGCGGAGACGCCTCTGAGCACCGCTGGCTCTGGTTCCCGCTCTTCTGGTTTCCTTGGAGGAACCGCGAGTTCCCCCTGGAGCTACGGTAAAAAAGATCGCAGTGGCGAAGCTACTGCCTGAAATCACTGTACTGGAAACTAAGAGAGAAGTAAGAGATAATGGGGCAGCCAACAGTGTGGAGGTTAAACAGAGCGAGGGAGAGAAAACAAAAAACAAACAAAAAACCCTCAATCCTTTGTCGTGTATTTTATACCAGAGATTTAAGAGTAATATCCATCATGAGTTTTATTCTACAAAGAGACTTGCTCTATTTACATCACATCCATTATTTTTGTTAATCCAGAGCAAAAGTCGAGTTGAAACTACAAAACAAACTGTACAGATACATGTTAAGTGTTATTCAATTAAAAAGAGGTTTTAAAAAAAATTGTTTTAAAGAAACATGTTGGCTCTTTAAAAGCCTGAGAAAAGAAATAGCTACCTGGCAAAAACAGCGCAAACATGAAGCTACGTTAAATCACAGAGACATTTTCTAAAACTGCAATGGAAATTTTATTGCATCTTAAAACTTATTTCACTCTGCGAAGTGTTTAGGGGTCTTAAAGCTAAGTCCTTATCATTAAAGACATAAAAATTAAAATACCAGGTTTAAATTAGCGATCATTGTCCGAAAGAAATGGGAGACTCCGGAAAGAGCGTGCTTTTTCTGACTGGTTCATATAAAGGACTGAGCAATAATGGGGTAAAATTTTGCTCTCCTAAATATAAAGGATTTAAACGTATCTTGAATTCCCCCTCCCACCCCAAGAAAAATCCACGGAGTAAAACACATATGTCTAGTGCCACGCCCGGCGCAGAGTGGGTGTTACTAAATGCAGAATGTGTCCATGAGAAAAGACGGGCCTGGTGGATGTGAGTTCTCCCCACTCCTCAAAATGTTCTGAGTTGTAGCAATATTAAGTGATAAGGGAATGGGACTGGAACTTAAGGTTTCTTGAAAAATTCTTGATATTCTAATGTGGTGATCATTTCGGTTTAAAGCCAGGAGCCTCAGCCTTTCCAGGTCCCGGTGGGGAAAGCTGGAGACTCCCGGGCTGGACTGGCTGTGGGAGGCAGGGAGACTGACCCGGTTCAGGACCCGGGCTGGCACTTCCAAGCCAGACGGCGGCGCTTTCCACTCTAGGTTTTTTGCGACCTTGTAAGGAAGTGGGCGCGGGCGGAGCGGAGTCGGCGCCTCCTGATTGGCTGGCCATCTCGGTGATTGACAGGGCCCCGGACTCCGCCCCCGCCCCTTTATTGACACTAATGAGCAAGTTCTTCCCACCGCTCTCCTGCCTGGAAGTGCTGACAGATCAAGGCAACAAATTTCAATTACAATCCCTAATTTGTGTCCGCAGAGTGTTTTTTACCCATGTTAGTCCTCTCTGGAGCATCAGTCGAGGCAGATCTTGGAGCTGCAGGAAGAGGTGGAGGGGGTGGGAGCGAAAGAGTCCATCACTGAGAGAGCGAGCGAGAGACCGAGGGAAGGAAACTTGGCGGGCGCGTCGCTGGTTCCTGGGATCCCAACACAAGCGCGAGAGAGGAAACGCCAAATTTGTTTTTGCCCGGGCGGGGAAGAGGGCAGATCTGGGCCTGCGGGAGGCCCCGAGAGTCGTTCAGATTTTGGTAGAGGAAGGAGAGCGAGTGTGTGCGTGTGCCTGCGCTTGTGTATATGAGCGAGGGGCGGGCGCCGGGCGGCGGGGATGGCCGAGAAGCGGAGGGGCTCGCCGTGCAGCATGCTAAGCCTTAAGGCGCACGCCTTCTCCGTGGAGGCACTGATCGGCGCCGAGAAGCAGCAACAGCTTCAGAAGAAGAGGCGAAAGCTGGGCGCGGAGGAGGCGGCCGGGGCCTTAGATGACGGAGGCTACAGCCGCGGCGGCGCCGCCGGAGAAAAGGGCTCCTCAGAGGGAGACGAAGGCACTGCGCTCTCGCCGCCGGCTGGGACGGCATCCGGGCCCATCCGGAGCTGCGCAGACCTGGAGCGGAGCTGCGGTTCCCGCGGAGCCGCGGGTGAGTCGGCCCCTTCCCGCCTAACTTCTTCCTTAGACGTCCTCTCCCGGTCCCACGGGCCAGTACCGCCGCGGAGAACCTGAACTACTGAGAGTTGTGGGCGTGCGCGCACGCGGTGTCCCTGTGCGCCCGGGGCAACTCAGCCATCAGAGCGCTAGCCTGAGTGTCAGGGCGCAAAGCTCGCGCTGCCCTGGACGCTCTCGCCGCGCAACTCGGGTCACCCTCCAGACAGTAAAATGCCGCTTTCAGCCTGGTTTCTCAGGCTGCTGCTGCCGCCGCCGCCCACTCACGCCGCGCCCTCAGCAGCTGCAGTTTGCGGCGCTCGGCGGTGCAGATCTGTGCTTTCCGCATCTGCCTCCCTTGGGCTTCCAGCCCCTGGGTGCTCTTTTTCTTTCCTAACTTTTAAAAGCATGGGAGTGGGGGGAGCGACGGCATACCCCCACCCCCCGAAACCGAAACGAATGCCTAAACGGTTTGGGCAAACCAGGAAGAGGGCGGCATATTTGCAAACGTGGTTTCCCGAGGGGTAGCTGAGCGGTTCCCTTGCCTTCCTCTCTTGATTCCCGCTGCCAAGGCCGACGGCGATCGTGGGCTTGTTTTTCGTGCTCTTCTCTTCCCGCTGCTGCTTTGCTAAGAAGCTCCGGGCGGCCGCGGAGTTTGGAGAGAGCGGTGTTTGAAGAGCTTTCTAGAGGATGCCTCCGGCCGGGCCCGAAGCAAGGCGCCTCGGACGCCTATTACGAAGGGAGGCCCAGGCGCTTGGGACCAGGAGCCGGGGCGCCAGGCGCTTTTGCTCCGTGCTCTCCATGGCGTGGGGTGTGTCGGGGCCTGCACTGCGGATCTGGACTCGGGAACCCATCTCAGGCTCCGTTGGGCATGCATCCCAGACTCCAGCTGCGGCACAAAACTTATTTTGGGGCCTTGACCGGGCGGAAGCAGGGAGGGTGGGGTGGACGCTGGCCGCACGCCTCTGCGGGACTTGAGACTTGGGGACCGAGAGGGCCCTACTTGAGCGTCGAGTGTCCGTCCCTTTGGCTGGCGGAGCGCGTATTTACCCACCCATGGGCCTGTTTGTTGTAAGGGCCGGATGGCAAGAAAGCTTCCCCTTTCCTCGCGGTCCTTTTCCTCTCCCCAGCCGCCCTCGGGGGTTCATCTCCCCACCAGGCTTCCCATTTCGAGCCCTCACCGGTTACCCCTCTCTGCCCTTTGCTGCCCAGGCGGCTGTGAGGACGGCTTCCTGCAGGGCGCTTCCCCACTGGCATCCCCAGGAGACTCCCCGAAGGGGTCCCCGGTGCCTGCCTTGGCCCGGCCCGGGACCCCGCTGCCCTCGCCGCAGGCCCCGCGGGTGGATCTGCAGGGAGCTGAGCTCTGGAAGCGCTTTCACGAGATCGGCACGGAGATGATCATCACCAAGGCCGGCAGGTAAAGGGCACGCTGGCGCGAACGGCCCCGGCTCTGGCCTCACCCCACCTCTTGGTGGGTTGGGAAGAAGGACCTGCCAGAGCGGTGGGGTCTCTCGTTAGCAGTTTCTGCAGACAAGGCCCCGGGTAGTGGTTCACTTTTGAGACTGGCTTTGCCTACCTAACCTGGAGTGCAGTCGGCCGGCGAGGGACACAGCCCGGCTGTCCTCTCGTTGGATGCTAAGGAGAAAATCGCTGTCGCCGCGGAGGCGGTAACGTTTACTGTTGATAATCCGCATGCAGGGTAGTTATAGATTCGTGATCATACTTCATATCTGTTCAGGCATTTATTTAGGCTTTAGTTATGTTTCTGAAATTAAGGAACAGATTATCCACCCCTCCCCCCGTTTTTAAAAAACGCAGTTTACTCTTTAGCAAACCATCGTTTGCTTTTTTAGATTCGAAACTTCCAGTTGGTTCTTTATCAAAAGATTTGCTGGCAGTATGAGAATGTGATGTGTTATGCTATTTTGATATTAGATTAGGATGAAAATTAGTGGAATCACCAGTAATACATGCTTAATCCCTGCAAAAACAATTGCCCCGATTTTAAAAAACCATTCTTTTTATAAATTCACAGTTACGTGATTACTTTTTTTTTCTAAATGAAATCCAACAAATTAGCCTAAATTTGCTGAGGAATACCAAAAAAATTTGTAAGTTATATCTATTTTTTAGAAAGTGTGAAATTTGCACATCCGTCAGTTAGTAAAATAAATTGATTTGTTGCACAAATCATGTTAATGTGAGGGAGGGACAGAAATATTCGCGTTTTAGAGTTTTCAGTTAATTTAGTGCAGTGAAATTGGTGAATACTATCTTCCTTAAAAGAAACTTTAAAAAGCACACACAACTCTTTCAGGGAGTACACATGGCAAAAACCTGGATAGCATAAAAGTATCCAAACTTATTAGAAATTACAAAAACATATTTTATTGAATCCATATGCTACCTTCTAAATTTTCACAGAGCTTTTTATTAATGATCCAAATTCAGTCTTCAACAACACAAAGCAACAGTTGTCTTATAAAGGATGTAGTTAAAGACCTTTACTCTTTATCTTACAGGTGCACTGAAATAACACTAAAACAGCCAGCGTATTAAACTGTTCTCATGCCTAGTTAGGAATAATGGACTTTCTTTTCTCTGGAAGTGGTCTTTAATGGCTTTATTGTTATAGGAAACATTTCTGGTAAATAACAGTACTAAAATTTGTGTTATAAGGTTAAATTAGCAAAAATTAGCTTAACCAGAAGGGTCCTAGACATAAATCATTAGATGAAAGTTGTTTTTTTTTTAAAAGAGAACTGTTTTATTTGTTTTTTTATATACAATAATTTGCTGTTGTATTCCTTGCTGCTGTGCCCTTTTTAAAAGATAGGTGCGTTTATTTTAGCATCTCCTTTTATATGCATCTCTGGGAAGCCAAGAGAAATGTGGATTTTCATTTATTTTAATTAGCAAATTTTGAGTAAGTGTGGTTAAATAAGAAAGTATTTTCAGGGTATGGTGGGGGAAGGAATGATTTGGCAAATATACATTGTGTTTAGTTTCTGCTTTCAATAAAGAAGTTTTACTATACCTTTCAAATTTAGAGCAACTTTTGCACTTCACCTTTACCATGCTGCAGACAGGAAGTCCTGTCTCAATAAAGAACATATTGTTTGGTTATGGCGTGGCACATTGGCTCCTTGTGCTTTTTTTTTATAACCCTTTTAAAATTTCACATTATAATATATTTTATCACTTTTAGAAATTCACGTTTTCTATTTCTACCATTTGGAACACTTCATTATTTGTATTATTAAAGGTAATCTGCTTACCGATTTTTGTTTAAAAAATAAAGTGCTTTCTGTGCCATTATTTCTTCAGTGTACAATTTTTTTTTTTTTTTTTTTTTTTGCTTTTAGCTATACTGACATTTCAGTAAACATGGAATGCAAGTACAGGGACAAATTACATTTAAATGATTCAGTTTTGATACGTCCTGTGTTCAGATTCTTTGAATTACATTACCAAAGTGAATGTTATAAGTTTTTCCATGTGAAAAATACAGATTCGAGAGTTTTCTTTGCTTATTCATTCTCCAAGCGTAATCATAAACAAAAACAGAACCCAAACCGTCTTTCCTCCCCTCCCTTATACATAGGCGCATGTTTCCAGCAATGCGAGTGAAGATATCAGGATTAGATCCTCACCAGCAATATTATATTGCCATGGATATTGTGCCAGTGGACAACAAAAGATACAGGTACAGTGATCAGATGGGTACAGAGGATAAGAAAACGCTGGGATTTTACAGGATACGCCTATTTAATCTGTGCTGATTATGATATTTGTTTCCAGAAGCCCGTAGAATTATCAGATCCATAATCCAAACCCTGTGACTTCCAGTAGTCTAGATGGTGCCTTCTCTTGCAATAAATGTGAAAAAAAATTTTGTTTTGCTTTTAGTAGATACAGAAATGTCTTTAAGTGTTGAGGAATTTTAATAAGGGGTCAGTTTAGTGTTGCTAAACTAAATGTGACTTTAATGTTGATTCACATTTTGATTAGGATTTTGAGACAAAATGTTGAGTCAAGTTTGTAGATATACATAATTGTTAACAAATTGTTTCATTTTCTTCGTGATTTTTTGGACATTTAAATAATTTCCCTTTATTGTGTTACATACAAAATCATAGGCTTCTTCACAGGCTTTTTTCCCTTTAATTTGAGAAAATTATTGAAGATATTTTACAATTTAGAAAAAAATCTCAATTCATTACTATATTAAGACATCTTTAAGCTGGCAATGAATTTGTTACCTTACTGTTGTTTTTTTGGCTGGCAGTTAACACAGTAATTTTTAAAAAGTTTTGTGTTGTTTGGATTTTGAGAGAATATATTTATCTAGATATCAAGTAAAGTTGGAAAAGATACTTTCTTCAGTATCAAACCAACCTTTGCTTTTCCTTCTGCAAGTAAGCAAATCAACAGTCGTCAGTGGCAATTCTTTTTATTTTACTGAGGAGCTGAACTGATTCACTTTGTTATAAAGCAGAAACTAACACACCACTGTAAAGCAATTATACTCCAATAAAGATGTTTAAAAAAAATGCTAACATTTAAAAAAGGAAATTCTGAGTGGAAAATCGGAAGATGCTGCTTTAAATTTCTTTGTTTCTGTCTTTTAAATAAACAGCTAGAGCATTTAGTAAGTTTTTAAATGAAATCAGATTTGGTTTTTATTACTCTTTAAAGTTGTATCCCTTATTTTAATTAAATAATTCATTAGGGAGCTTTGCTAAAATTATCTACTACATGATAGAAGCTAGAAGGCATTGAAGTTTATTCTTTAAGTTTACTTGGTTTAAAATCCATATTCTAATTTGGGTTTTGCGCTTAGGAAGACAATGTAATTCTAAAGAGCTTAGAAATTATTCCTTTTTCTTCTAAGTTTGTCTTCTATTTCTTTCTCCAAATCTCTTCCATATATTTTGGATGGTTTATTTTACTTAACTGATCCTTATTATTCACACATAAAGCAAGAAAAATTTCAAGTATTAGTATTAAGATGCCATATTATAAAAGATCAATTATAAAACATAAATTTGCTTTCACTTATATTGCTTCTCAAGAAAAAAATTGTTTTTAGCATTTGTGTTGAGAATGTTTCACAAAGAATATGTAACATGTAGCATTTATTCTCTTAGTGGGTGTGGATTTTTGAACTATTCAATATGCATACTTTTTCAAGGTTTTGACAGAGCATATCACTCTATTTATTTTGGCAATAGCTCTATATTCATTGTGCTGCTTTTCTTGCATTTCTAAGATTTGCATTTTCCAACTTTTTCAGCAATGGTAGAAACAGATATTTTTGGCTTATTCTCTGCTATCAAAGAATGGTATTTGGTGAAATGAAAAGTGATTGTGATTTATTAGAATGTAAAATTAATATTCACAAAAGGCCATGCACTTAGGAGCTTATTTATTGAAATTGTACTATATCAATTAAGGGGAATTGTTTTTATTATTATTCTTTATTTTGTGATAATGTATTTTTTCCCAAGAAAAGGAATTAAAGAATAGAAGGCATATTGAACTCAAAAGAGAATGAAATGTGTGACCATATTGAAACAGTGAGCCTCACCAGAGATATCATGAAAATGTTTCATGCTATTTTAAAAAGAAATTTGCATATATACTGGTAGAATTCTCTGAGACTATTTGTAAGTTGTTGCTTTAAATTGTATGCCATATTTTAAAACAAATGGAAGAAAAACATCGAAGTATATAATTTCATTTTCTACCCTTTTCTAAGTCAATCATCCATATACTAGTTTCTAGGTTTTGAATTAGTGTATTTTAAATTAACATTAATAAATGATGGTCTGAATATAAGATTAAACATTATTGTCTTATATACTACTTGAAACATTGTTATTTAAATGATTATTTTTATAGAGTCAATATAGTTGACATACACAAATAGAATAAGATGTTTTGTCTCTTAGTTAGAAAGGTAATGTTAATTGGATATATCATAATTTTTAAAGTTTGATGTGTATTTTAATTAGTGGTATAAAAAATTTAAAGAATTTTCTTACAATAGTCAAAAAAAGAGAAATATAGGAGATAAAGGCCTATGTTTTATGATTTTACAAACTTTTAAAATTAAACGGAATATCCTCAGTTTATAGTGTAATAGAGTTAGAAAAAATAATTATAAATGATAATAGATGGAACTTTTTTCCCTATGAAAATAAATTTACTGAAAGTTCTGACAATTTCCCCTTGCCTTTCTACCATCTATCTCATCAGTTTGAACATAAGCGTAAAATGGGAAGTGATAAAGAAAGTGGGACACTTTAAGATATAACTCTCAAGTATTTTTGAGATTTCCTTAAAGGGGAGATTGACAACTTAGTTTCTTCATGTCAATTGAACATCCAGATGAAAAATGGAAAACATCAGAATACAGACAGAATGTCTAATTTGTTTAAGTGTGATTCATCCAAATTAAAATACTTGCATTTATGGTGGGAATAGTGTGCATATTTTTCACTAACTCCTTAACATACCACTTTGAGTGGTCAGTAGGTTACCACTGCTTCAGAGAGTTTTTAAAAAGTGCTTGAATTCTTAGTTTATATGCATTGAATGTAAAGAGCAAATCGTCGAATTTTAGACTTTTTAAAGGGTGCAGATTTTGTCTGAGTCTACTGAGTTGGAAATTCCAAGAAAGCAACAGTTCACAAACTGAGCCTTGTCATTGCCTTCTAGATATGTTTACCACAGCTCTAAATGGATGGTGGCGGGCAACGCTGATTCCCCTGTGCCACCCCGGGTGTACATTCATCCGGACTCGCCTGCCTCAGGGGAGACTTGGATGAGACAAGTGATCAGTTTCGACAAGCTGAAGCTCACCAATAATGAACTGGATGACCAAGGCCACGTAAGTACATGGCCTCCCTAATTTGCCTCCATTGGATGGCGTGGGCTGTATCTGTACTGTGCCTGCCTGAAGGAAATGAACTTTTCTAAGATCATGAAATTCCTCTCCTGGTTGACTAGCCTGTGCACAGTCTGCGCAAAATCTAGGTTATAGTTGCATCAGAGATTATGCCTGTGGCCGGAGTATTCTATGAAGCATTTAATAGGGAAAACTAGATATTGCATTTGTATTGGAATGAAAGAACCTCAGGCAGCCATTTTTAGCCAAAACATTTGTTTGAAATCCCGTGAGGTGCCAATTATTATACTCTGAATATGAATTCTTGGCAGTTGGGTGAACAGTGATAATGATTTATTGTGTCCTACCTGCATCCAGTTCTTTCTCCAGCTGAAGCTCATGCTTCTCAATAACAGCCCAGGCTTATGCTGTTTGCGTGTTCCACCTGCAAGCTCCCAATTGTTTTGTAATGACATCTAAGGTGTCAAATACGTTGTAATAATTCCTTTTTGTCTTAAAACTGCTGAAAAATGATATATATGCTAAAGCCAGCCATTTCAATAATATAGTCATTTTTAACGCCTTATTAATTTTTACACAGTATTGTCCCTAGGCAAGACTACCCTTATTATTTTAATAAATAAGTAACTCTGGATACATGCTGATTTCCACTCAATGCTAGCGTTTCTATTAGGTTTCTGTTATTTGAGAGGGTTTTGACTGAAGCAGGATTGAAATGTCTTTTTAAGAGCATATATGGTACGTAAAAGGAATACAAACTAGTTCATTTCTCAAAGGGGTGACATGAAGATAGCATATTTATGGGCCAATCTTTTCAAACAAAAATGCAAACTGTCATAAGCTAGTAATACAGCGATGACAGGATGTGATTTGTAAGTTGCTAGATAATATCTTAAGCAAATTGACCTTAATGAAGACATTCAAGTACAAATTTCATTGTGGTACAGATGCAGCATCTGGATTTTTAAGACTCATCTCTCTCAAACTGCCAGTACTTTTGTTTATTTGTTGCCTTTCATATTCTAAACCAGAATCAGAAAAGTAACAGTGTACAGTTTATTTCTGAATCCAACTTCATGCCCTGTACTTTAGTGCATTACTTTGCTTCTCTTCTTTTTTTTCTGTATATACACAGTCAGGTTGTAACCGTTATTTTTCATTTGATTTCAATGAAAAAACACTAGTTTCTTCTGTCTCATTGAGGGAGCCAACTGTGGAATTTTGCCAGTGCATCCATTGAGGAGTCTTTAATTTTTTTTACAGTAAAAATTTTAAAAATAAATGGCACTAAGTGTTACCTGTTTTCAAAGCTTAAACATACCCTGCTTTTCTGAGTTCTATAGTTTGAGAATATATCTTTTAAAGAGATAAGTGGGTCTAAAAGCTATACACTGTCATATATAAGGGACAAACTCCTTTAAATAATTTAAATAAATATAGTCATTCTATAATTTGAATTCTTTCAGATCAAATTACTGGCTTTATATCTAATATCTACCATATCTACAAAATTAGATCTAGATCTAGTAATTTATCCATCTGATTTTAACTTCATAATTTCACTAGACTTTATTTAAAACAGCATTCTCTAGAGAAACAGAACCAACAGACTGTATAGATATAGTTATAGGTATATAGATAGATATAGATAGAAATAGAGATAGAGATAGAGGAGGGATTTATTTTAGGGAACTGGCTCACACAATTGTGGTGGCTGGTAGGTGTGAAATTTGCAGGGTGGGTGGGCAGGCTGAAGACCCAGGGAAGAGCTGATGCTGCAGCTTGAGCCTCAAGGCAGTTTGAAAGCAGAATCTCCTCTTCCTCAGGGGACCTCCCCTTTTTTCTCTTAAATCTTTCAACTGACTGGGTAAGGCCCACCCACGTTATGGAGGGTATCTGCTTTACTCTACTGATTTAAATGTAAATCTCAACTGAAAAGTACCTTCACAACGACATCAAGACTGGTGTTTGGCCAAACATCTAGGTACCATGGTCTAGCCAAGTTGACACATAACGTTAATTATCACACAGCATTTGTTTAAAATACAAAAGAATAGATTGCAACTTGAGCCACAATTGTTTATACCTAAATAATTATAACATTTCACTCTTAAAAAATATAAAAACATAGCAGAAAACAGACAAAATCTATAGAAGTGTGTCATCTTCCAGTAAAATTCTTTTAAGGTTGTGACAGGATGTAATACTTTAATAAAGTAATTAATGTGCGCAGGGAATAGGGAGAGAATAATATGTATCTGTGCATTTTGGAAGCGAGGAAATTGCCTTTGCAAATAGTAAAAATGTACATATTGCTTGATACTAGAGGAGAAGGTAGGAGGGAAAATGCTCTTTTCTGTTCTTTATTTAAAAACAAAGTTTTGAAGACTTTGTAAAATGTAGTAAGAGATAAGAAGCCATAGTCTCTGCCTTCAGTGATCTTCTAGCCTAGATGGGGGGCGGGGAGAGGACAGGCCCACAGGTGATCGTGATGTCAGCGCGGAGCACTGCAGCTGCCACATTGTTCCAGCCAGGAGAGATTGGGAAGGCTCTGTGAAGAAGGTGTCTGTTGTGTTTCTTTGCTCAGTTTGGTGCCCCTAAATAAGGTTAGATTAGAGATTAGGAAGTCATTTCTTATTCTGTTGCTGATGTGATTCAGCATCTGAGAAGACAGCAGTACCATTGTGATGGGACTAACCCGGCAGTCCCTTTCCTGATGCAGAGACCTCTCAGGGACTGTCACCTCTCTGCCCTCATACAGTTGAGCCTCCCCACCCCCCAATTCTAAAGGAAGTGACACTAATCTCTAACCAATCAAGCTGTAGATTCAAATGCGAGGTAATTTTCTAATTTGCTTTCTAAATTGGTTTCCTACATTTTGTCCTCTCAGTTCCCAGTTTTATTCTGCTAAAGGTGTACAAGTGTTCAACATGGTGACTTGAGAACTCCATGTAGACCTGGGACTATTTTTTTTTTTTTTTTGCGGTACGCGGGCCTCTCACTGTTGTGGCCTCTCCCGTTGCGGAGCACAGGCTCCGGACACGCAGGCTCAGCGGCCATGGCTCACGGGCCCAGCCGCTCTGCGGCATGTGGGATCTTCCCGGACCAGGGCACGAACCCGTGTCCCCCCCATTGGCAGGCGGACTCTCAACCACTGCGCCACCAGGGAAGCCCAGACGTGGGACTTTTATTAAACACAGAGAGATTGGAAGAAACAAATTGTCACGGGGCTGTGAGTGGACCTAGGGCTGCACAAAACATGAGATTATGTGCCATTGTGATTTTCCCCAAAATGATTTTTCATCTTTCCAAACAGCAAGAATTGTTTAGAGAGGAATACTGGTGAGAATCTAGAGATGTAGAAACATCCCACCACTCCACAGCTAATCTTTTGTTTTTGTTTTTGTTTTTGTTTTTTGTGGTACGCGGGCCTCTCACTGCTGTGGCCTCTCCCGTTGCGGAGCACAGGCTCCGGACGCGCAGGCTCAGCGGCCATGGCTCACGGGCCCAGCCGCTCCGCAGCATGTGGGATCCTCCCGGACTGGGGCACGAACCCGCGTCCCCTGCATCGGCAGGCGGACTCTCAACCACTGCGCCACCAGGGAAGCCCCACAGCTAATCTTTTTTTTCTTTCTGTTTAGCGTGTCAACTTTTTATTAAAGTTAAGAAAAATTAATCTTATGATTTTTAGGACTACACATGTATGTCTTTTTTTTAACATCTTTATTGGAGTATAATTGCTTTACAATGTGTTAGTTTCTGCTTTATGACAAAGTGAATCAGCTATACATATACATATATCCCCATATGTCCTCCCTCTTGCGTCTCCCTCCCACCCTCCTTATCCCACCCCTCTAGGTGGTCACAAAGCACCGAGCTGATCTCCCTGTGCTATGTGGCTGCTTCCCACTAGCTATCTATTTTACGTTTGGTAGTGTATATATGTCCATGCCACCCTCTCTCTTCTTCCTAGTTTACCCTTCCCCCTCCCCGTGTCCTCAAGTCCATTCTCTAGTAGGTCTGCGTCTTTATTCCTGTCCTGCCCCTAGGTTCTTCAGACCTTTTTTTTTTCTTTTAGATTCCATATATATGTGTTAACATACGGTATTTGTTTTTCTCTTTCTGACTTACTTCAATCTCCACAGCTAATCTTGAATGTTGTGAAGACTTTATAATCCCTACTTGCCCTTTGGGGAGACCATAGTCAGCTTTGTCTTGGATTGTATACAAACCAAGACTGGTCCTTGGATTACCTGAGAGCAGATGGTCAGCATGCTTGGGTGGGGTATTTCCTTCTCATCATGTGCATGTTTCACTTGGAATTTGCTGTCTGGAGGGAAACATTTAGGTGAACATTTCCCTGCAGAATTAGATAATTCTATATCTAAGGTAATTCTATATCTAAGGTAATGGTGCACCTTTAACCAGGGCAGGACTTGTGCCCACAGTGCTGGTGTACTTTGGAAGGAAGCACAGTCAGGCATCCCACAGGAAACTTGTCGGAGGGTCTGTTCTTCCAGCTGCTGAGGATTCACTGATACAGTCACGCTAGCTCTGAGTTTGTCCTCACCCTCTTCCCATTTCTGCTCGAGCATCAGATGGGGAAGCAAGAGGTCACAGGGGAGATTGCTAGATCTCCCTGATGGAAGGAACTTGCCATGGCTTAGAGGTCTAAGGTTCGTAAGCAAAAAACTTTGACTCTCTGGGCCTTGGTTCTCTCATGGGTTATATTGGAACCAGAGAATTTTGAGTGACTCAAATAAGCCGATGAATTTGAAAGTCCATATTTGTAAGGGGTGCTTCATACACAACGTCACACTTGAAACAAAACCCAGCCCACTTTGCTATGGATCTTGCGACCCTGTGTAACTACCCTGACCCCTACCATTGAAAGCAAGTCTGCATCTGCTATCACCAAAAATGCAGGGAGCCAGGTTTTTGTTATCTGCTCCTTCTTGGTCCTTTGCTTGATTTGTTCCAACACTGGCATTTAGGTCATGGAGAAAACTTCCAGAGTCAGCAGGTAGTGTTTCCCTATTGAGCTGTTTTGTAAGGGACAGGTGGTGTATCTGTCAAACTACAGGCACTTTAGGCCCATCAGATCAGAAATACGTAACATCGCGCTTCTTTTGACTCAAACCTAGTATCTTTAATGTGGGAAAAAACTGTATTAACCTTCACATGGGAAAGCACCCCGTGTTTATGGACAGAGGTCCATGTGACTATCTATGCTACTAGGTAATGCTCCAAAGAAAAAACATCCTCCATCTGAACAGAACAGAGAGCACGGAACATGCAGATCAGATATAATTATTTGAGTTTCAGAAATGGGCATTATCATTGTGGTCTCCTTGTTTATAAGGCCAGTGGTTCTCCTTGTTCTACTTGTTCTACTAAATAAGCAAAATATTCTTGATGAATGGATAAAGAAGATGTGGCACATATATACAATGAAATATTACTCAGCCATAAAAAGAAACAAAATTGAGTTATTTGTATGAGGTGGATGGACCTGGCGTCTGTCATACAGAGTGAAGTAAGTCAGAAAGAGAAAATCAAATACCGTGTGCTAACGCATATATATGGAGTCTAAGAAAAAAAAAATGTCATGAAGAACCTAGGGGTAAGACGGGAATAAAGACACAGACCTACTAGAGAATGGACTTGAGGATATGGGGAGGGGGAAGGGTAAGCTGTGACAATGTGAGAGAGTGGCATGGACATATATACACTACCAAACGTAAAATAGATAGCTAGTGGGAAGCAGCCGCATAGCACAGGGAGATCAGCTCGGTGCTTTGTGACCACCTAGAGGAGTGGGATAGGGAGGGTGGGAGGGAGGGAGACACAAGAGGGAAGAGATGTGGGAACATATGTATATATATAACTGATTCACTTTGTTATAAAGTAGAAACTAACACACCACTGTAAATCAATTATACTCCAATAAAGATGTTAAAAAATATTCTTGAACACTTGTCATTATAACTTTGATAGTTCATTAAAAAGCAAATAATTGAAAAAAAAAGCAAATAATGCTATTTTATGAGAATAACTAAGGCTCGTTTAGCATTCTCTTAAAATTTCCAGGGATATACTATATTCCTATAGATCATATTGAAAGTATATTATTTTTCTTGAATAATTTTCAGGTTACTATTGGCAGTTACCCTTTAATGTGCAAACATAGGCATGCCTCATCTATTTCTGTACCCTACCCCAGTATACCCCACCTTAAGTCATTTTGGAGATTCCATAAGGATATAAACAAATAAATGAAATTAAAGTGTATATAGCTATATAGAGAAATCTGCTTGAGAGAACAAAGACTTCATAAAACAAGAACCCACTTTTCATTGACTAGTAAACAGAAACCCAAATGAATTTTTGTTTCCTTCACTACAAGCCAGTTCACTCTCGTCTTCTTGGCTATGCACTGTATTTTTGTTTGTTTAATGTAAAGTGGCTTTTTCCAATTTTTAGTCTACTCTGGAATTTGCTGATCATTGGAATTAAATCTTGCTTTTTCATACTTTTCACAGCCAGACATACATTTCATGTTAGGCTTAGTGTACACACACACACACACACACAGAAAACAGAGAGTGTTTTGGAAAACAGTATCTATCCTTACTACAAGCAGCACACTCTATTTTTCTGCTTTATTTTCTAATTTTACTTATTTTAAAAATTTCCAGTTGCAACACTTTAAACCGATTTTGTGAGCCATGAATGAGTTAGTTGAAATTCTGTCCTTTTTTCAACCTGGAAAGAGACTCTTCCAGAGGTTGCTGATTTGTGCTGTGTGTCCCTGGGTGATGATGAAGGCTATTGTCCCCTCTTGTCCTTTCCTCAGACTCATGCTGTTGTTCCATCAGGAAGGTCTGGTGGGTACCATCATTAGATCTGCTATCCAGGCATTTCCTCCACTGATAGAAAGAAAATTTCAGGGTTAAAAAAAACCCCAAACTGTTGGTTAATAACAGAGTGTAAAGACATCCTTTGGGGGCAACAAACACACTCTACAGGTAGAGGATTATTTGTGTTTGGGCTGACCAGTGATTCTGAATTTGGCTTATTAAACTGCGCACATCCTGAAAAACATGAGGCAGGTCAACCAACCACTGTGTTTTTCCCAGACCTTTGTTTAAGCATTTCTCCAAACTCTTAACTCCTCAAAACCAGAATTCAAATCATATAGCTCAGGAAAGATATAGATTCATTAACTAAACGCATTAGTGAATACCTTAATTTGGATTCCTGGCAGCAAATAGAAAATCCCATTGGATAGGGCTATTTCTTTTTTTTTTTAATCATTGACATATACTATTTTTAATACACAGTCCATATTCAAAATTTTCCAGCTGTCACAATAATATCTTTTTAGTACTGTTTTTTCCTGTCTGGGTTCCAATCCGTAATCACACATTGCATTTATTTATTTATTTATTTATTTATTTATTTATTTATTTATTTATTTATTTATTAACGTCTTTATTGGAGTATAATTGCTTTACAATGTTATGTTAGTTTCTCCTTTATGACAAAGTGAATCAGCTAAATGTATACATATATACCCATATCCCCTCCCTCTTGCGTCTCCCTCCCACCCTCCCTATCACACCCCTCTAGGTGGTCACAAAGCACCAAGCTGATCTCCAGAAAGTAGGCATAGAGGGTTAGGGCTATTTCTTTACCCCACCTCCTCAACCTTGACAGTATAAAACATATAAAGAAGAAGAAAACATTCACGCACAATTCCCTCATCCAGAGCTTTGACCACTCTTCATATCTTTGTATGGGTCCTTTTTACTGTCTACTTTTATGTAGTTATGATAAGTTGAAAAACAACTTGGATCCTTTATTCTAATTTAAGATTTAAAAAGAAGTGTTTCATTATGTGGTTAACAATGTCCTAAAAGCGTTAGTAATGGCTGAATAATGTTGTATCCCACTGTGTGGACTTTCATTTACCTAACCAATCTACTCATGTCAGTGGTTTATAGTTTTTCCACTGTTATAAATGGTGCGCTGCACATCTTTGTATATGGAACGCTTTTCTGGATTTGAAATATTTCCTTAGGATAAATTCTCAGAAGTGGAGTCTTTGGGCAGAAGGCAGTTGAACCATATCATCAGATTCCCCTAGCTGAGTCTGAGAGCTTTTGCATCGCCAGGCATCTGGGTTTTGGAAGCCTTGTTATGATGGGAGCACGGACGCTGGGCTCTCCAGGCAAACCAGAGACTTTGTGAGCCACACATAAGTCACACCCTGGGGTATCCTTAAAATCCCTTTGCCCTTGAATAGACATGTTGTGGTCACCAGCAAGGGAAAAATGTTTCTGAAGAAAACCTTGGTGTGCAAATACTTATTTTTAGGGGATGGGTGTGGTAGAATTCAAATAATCATTTCAATCTCACTCTTAGTTTTATTGTTTTGGACTCTGTGTTCCATTAGGCTCATTATAAATAAAAGGCTTATGAATTTATTCTTGTGTTTTCAGAAACAGAAAATTTGATGTTACATTCGTATGGTTATACACAGGGTTCCACCAAAATAGTGATTACTTTTTTTAGTTTGTATTTTTATGCATGCTTTGCAAACAGCTTCCTAGCAGTCTCAGTCCAATTTTGATATACTTTATTAAATTGGCACTTTCAGAGCCTTGGATATTTTTATTTCCAACTGGATTCGTTTTGTACGTTAAATATTTAGTCAAGGCAGAAGTTGCTGACAAATTTGGCTTTTCTTTCCTTGACATAGATTATTCTTCATTCTATGCATAAATACCAACCGCGAGTCCATGTCATCCGTAAAGACTGTGGGGATGATCTTTCTCCCATCAAGCCTGTTCCATCTGGGGAGGGAGTGAAGGCATTCTCCTTTCCAGAAACTGTTTTCACCACTGTCACCGCCTATCAGAATCAGCAGGTACTGTTCTCAGAATTGGGATCTTTCTAGCCGTTTAATTTCATGTGCAGATTGAAAGCTAGCTCTTCTTTTCACTGTATCTAAATGTTATGAATTATCATAAAGCATTTGCCATGTATGACATCCAGAATATATATGTATTGTAATAACAATTATTTATCCATTATTCCCCATGTAAAGCTACTCTAGTGAGGATTTCTTTAGACCAGAGTGTGTCTCATGACTGGCAGTGTAGGTTTACTTTCCATTTTGAGACATTGAATCCTGATGTCATAATTAAAATTAGAAAGGATGTGTATTGACTAGGAAATAGACATGTAGGATATGAAAGTGAGTTGCATCACAGGGCATGGGATTTGACAGCTCACTTAAATTTAAAGCTACCATCCATATATTATGGGAAATATTTCAGAAGCATTTATCCTATGCAGTCATTTTAGTATATATTTACAAAAGGGCTATTTCTTTCAAGATATGCTTGAATTGTGATAGAGGGTGATGCATATGCTTATAGTCTGAGAGATGAGCGATTGTGGAGTAATCCTTTCATAAAATTGGAAATAATTTGAAAAGTGAAATGCTTCTTTTCTATATGATTAAGTATATGTACTTCTTTAAGGCTGTGTCAAGCAGGTGGATAACTGAATTGAGGCAATTATTTGATCCATTCAATTCTGGCCAGTTTTCATAAGAAATAGCGATGGAGTTGAGGCTGATGTGGTCTGTGGTAGATTTTTTTAAAGATTTCAACGGTCAGCAGAATTATTTTAGGTTTCCACTTCTCTTTACATTTATATACATCTCAGTTAACAATTTTAGGCTTTATAAACTCTCTGTTGTGTTCTCTGTTGTTTTAAAGCTTCTTAGGAGATTCGGACCCTGTCCTGTGCGTCCTCCTTTAGGGCTGAGAGGCTCATCTGTTCTCGTCCATGTTGCGACACCTGTCCCACAGCCCAGGCTGTCCTGTCCTCTCATACTCACGTTGTCACACTTCTATACAGGTTTTTGGGAGGGAACATGAAATTAACCTTTAAAAGGGCTGGAGAGGGCTTCCCTGGTGGCGCAGTGGTTGAGAGTCCACCTGCCGGTGCAGGGGACACGGGTTCGTGCCCCGGTCTGGGAAGATCCTGCATGCCGCGGAGCGGCTGGGCCCGTGAGCCATGGCCGCTGAGCCTGCGCGTCCGGAGCCTGTGCTCCACAACGGGAGAGGCCGCAACAGTGAGAAGCCCGCAAGGGCTGGAGATAATTAGGAAGATATTCTTAAAATATGTCAGGTGTAGAAAATGTTTTTTATTAAAGGAAAAATATAATGCATGGGGAGAAAAGAGCAGAGGCATTTGTTACCCAGTTCATCTTTTTTCTCTGTCTGTCTGTTAGTCTCTGCAACGCACCCAATTAACTGTGTTAAAAGTGTATTTTCTACTAGCCTCTGTGATACAATAAACGAGCTGCAGTGGGCTTTTGGTACATGTTGGTGACTAACAGCAATTCACAAATGTTGACAAATCAATTAAGAGGATGGAAAAATTAGAAGAAAAGAAAATTGATGATGAAAAACCATGTTCATTTTTTTTAACTTCCTGGCCGCTATTTTGAAGAACTTTTAGAAAATTGGTAAGCAGCCCATGCTTGGTGGCTACCAGCGTGGGCTCTGAAGCCTGGGGTGCTAGCCCAGTTCTACGGCCAGTTAACCTTATGATCATAGGAAACTTAACCCAGTATAAAAGAAACATAAAATTGGGATAATAACTACATCTAAGTTGCTATGAGAATTCAATAAAATAATATGCACAAAACTCATATTACGGCATACATGGTATGCACTCAACGATGTGATGTCAGCAATAAAAATCATTATAATAGTAATTGTGATAAACCTATATTTAGACAAGGCACCGTTATATAAATTTGTACTCTTTTTTAAAATACTATTTTGAGTGAACACTTAAGTTATTAAATGTTCTTTAAACATGATTTAAATGAACAGATAATTGAGCTATAATGAATTATAAAGAATTCTTTCAATGGCAGAGTGGCAGACATGGTGAGTTACTTAGCAGACTCTTACATTATCTCATTTATAATGTAGTTTTATCCACAAACTAAGACAGTAGAATATGGAGTACACCTACCTCAGGTGTTGCATGGCTGATTTGCAGATGGTTGAGAGCATACACAGCATAATATAGGGGGATTGCAGACGACTTTCCAAGGGTGCCTTTCTTTGCCTTAGTGTCGTCCAGCAGTGTTCATTTGTCCTTGACCAAAACGGCACAATAAGAAAGAAGGATGTTCATTAACTTTGGAGATTCCACTAAACCAGGGAACACAGAAAACAAAGCATGATGTGCTTCTTAGAAAATAGGCTGTTAACTCCTTTGGGCAAAGTGGAGATCTGGTAAGAAACAAATGGGATGTTGTTTATTAGTGTCAATTTCAGGATGGTATGACTAAAAAAAGTTGTTTTTAATGGAGACGATTAGACCACTTGCAAAAATGTTTCCCTCAAATCTTGGGGTCTTCCTGGGCAAAAATCTGGTTGTGAGTCAACAAATTACAACTGTAGTTAAAATGAAGCCATCATTTATTTCTCCTACATATATAAGATTGAATCCCATTAGAACCTTCAAGTCATGGTTACCTCTGGTTAGACATTCACTCTAGGGCTCTGACCAGGTCACGACTCCATAGCTAAAAGAGAAGATGGGAGCCATAAAGATGATTCAAGGAGAGACAAAGTTAAAGGAATGTATATTGGCTATTTCTGAAGAAGGTTATCAACATTCAAGCATATAAATGGCTGTTAAATAGAAGCTGGATATTAGCTGTTCTGCATCACCACTACTGCAAGAGAAACAGACACATGTCACAGCGTTAATAAAGGGAAGAACTTTCGTTTAGAGAGATTGTCAAACAAAGGGCAAATTACCAACAGATGACTCAGAATCTCCTTCTCCAGGGATATTAAAAGCAAAGCAAACTTTATCTATTACAGAGCTTGAACAGAGGCGGGGGAATGTCTTTTTCATAGCAAATGAATGTCTAGATGATTTCTGAAATTTTCATGTAGATTTGTTACTAATATAATAAAATACCTGAGAAACAGGGAAGAAGAACACAGTACATCCTCCGACAGTTAATTTTGGAGTTACTTATAATTCTTCCATCATTTCCATTTTTAATAACCTTCCTTGGCATTTATAATAAGACTTGATGTGATTGTTTTTTCTGCTCTGCAGATTACTCGCCTGAAGATAGATAGGAATCCCTTTGCCAAAGGCTTCCGAGACTCTGGGCGTAACAGGTGAGTCTTAGTGAAAAACATTCTGGCTGTGATAAATATATTTGATTTTTTATTGTGAATTTTCCATTACAAAGTAAACAGTTCAATTTACTGACATGGTTTTGGAATCACTTCTGATGAGGATTTAAATTTACTAGTATCATTGAGCCTTGGATGTAACTTATCTTGGGTGTGGCATTTTGCCCATTTCTAAGGTTAATGTTGATGTGAAATGCTGGGGTGAAAACGGAAGTTCTCAGGGTGTACAGTGCATGCTGCCTCTGAAGGGGCCTTGTGGAAACCTTCCCCTCAAGATCCAGGGGCTTTAATATCCCAAATCAAAATACTCTCTGCATCTGCTCTTGGTTTAGAATTTGCTTAGTGATGTCACAATTATGTATTGATCTGTCTTCGAAATAGGACAGAGACTCTTGTTCACTCAGATTTCCAACTAGAATATGAGACTACTCCTCACTGCCAAGACAGCTGATGTTCTTTGGTTTCCAAATTTGTCTTGGCTCTACTGACAGCCACACACTTGTTTATTTTTTCTGTGCTGTGTTTTATGGTGTTTGTACTAAGTGGGAGAGCTACAATAATGAATTCCACTCTATTACTTTTTATCAAAAAGCAGACCACCCTAGTCTGTGTGCCAAGAGTTTTTGAATTTATTGATATGATTCTATCCCAATATAGTTCGGTGCAACATTTTCTAAAATAACTGTTGATAGTAATAATAGACTGACGTTCTCCAGATGCCCTTTCAGGGTAAGACTTTGCCTTAAATGTTTTTAAAAGCACTTTGTTTTTAAAAAGTATTTGAGACATTTTTTTATCACTTTACTCCAGAAATACTTCTTGAAAACTTGGTATTGATAGGCGGTGTCTACATGAGGTCAAAATCCCCAATTATCTTATTTTAGGAACAATTTCACTTAAAATTGTAGAGAGAAAACAATCAAGTAGTAGTGCAGACTTTTAGTTCTTTCAGCTGATTAGCTGGGCAAGGTAGTGTAGACAGAGACCTTTTCTCAGAATAAATTCAAATGCTTGCAGAAAGACTTGATTTCATCTTCATATGCAATGATTCATTTAAACACCATGCAGTGTGAGGGCTAAATGTATGAGAGTGGAGTAGCCTTTTAACTTAGCACAGGCAGATCAACAAAACTGACTAATAACAGGGCTTCACTCTGTAGGAAGATTTGCAGGTATTCCTACTATACATTGTCTGCTGTATTGAGATTATTCTGTCATTTTAGATGTCTCTTTCCATGTGCAGAAAAACTTTGCTTGGCTTTTGTTATATTGCATTAGCTCGTGGTTAACTTTGCTTTTCAGAGGAGTTTCTGAAAGTTGAATAATCTAGTAACTGGGGTGGTCACTGGTAAGGTGACTGAAGGAAGTCCCTGGGATGACTCCTTTTCTACATTGCCAAATACTTTGATGGAATCTTCTTGTGGTTTTGGTTATAGCCGAAGAGTATTTATCTATTTATGACCCTTGCATTTCTTTCAGTTCTTTTTTTTTTTTTAAAGCAGAGAATAAATTTATTAAAACTCACTGAAACTCCAGGAGGGCAGCATTTAGGCTTGAGACTATACATCCAGGAACTAAGTCCAGTCTCTCCTGTAGGATGGCTCTAGCAAAGACCTCACTGCTGTTGACATTGGGGGGTCACATGGCTTGTACGCAGTCTTTTTTTTTCCTTTCACTTTTTTTGAGATGCAATTGACATACAGCATGCCTAAGTTTAAGGTGTACTGCATAACGATTTGACTTACATACATCACGAAATGATGACCTCAGTAAGTTTAGTGAACATCCATCATCTCATATAGATACAAAATTAAAGAAATAGAAAAACAGTTTTTTTCCTTGTGATGAGAACTCTTAAGATTTCCTCTCTTAATAGCTTTCCTCTATAATATACAGCAGTGTTCATTATATTTATCATGTGGCACATTACTGTCAGTTCGTTTTTGAAGCAATAACTTTAAACATATTTTTAAAGGTGTATTTTGGGTAGTAGTCATAGTGGATAAGCCTATAAGTAGAAGTGAGATGATAAGATACATATTACAAGGTTTCAGGAAGAATTCTAGATAAGTCAGCACAATGAAAAGACGTTAGTCTTCAAAAATTTGATCAGTGAAAAAAACTCAGAGGCATTGGTGAAAATAAACCACTAAGTCTCTTGTTTGGTACCATGAGGTCAAATGCTAGGTTTGATAGAAATTTTTTCTTCCCTTTGGCTGTTTCAGGAGTATATAAGCATGGCATCCATGGTGCTTGCTACTGTTTATTGCCTGACTCTAAACCTTTTAAAGTTTTTAATGGACATGCAAAAAATAATAAATTATGTTTTAACACTTTTTAAAGGTTGTTAAAATTTAAAATTTTTATTTTACTCCAAATGTTTAAACAATATCTTAGTATAGGAAAAACATGTTGAACTTATACATAGCTTTCTTGTTAGTGAAATGAATAGTTTCACTTTTTTTCTCATTTAAATGACTTCTACTTATCATAGAAAAGCTCTTCAGTGCCCATTTTGGAATGCTAAATATCTATGAATCAGTATTCCCAGTTTTAAAAAAATCTGATTTTAACATTTCCCACGGATCAATGTGAAAGACACTTATAATGAAAAGAGAGAATTTGGTCAGCTTTAAAGATTTCTAACTTATGTATTATTTTCCTTTAAAAAAAACGTTATCTGTAAGACCAGGAAGGTGCGTTGGTGCTGAGGACTTGGGGGAGGGGTGATGTGTTTTCATATATTAATAGAGAAAAAAGCCCATGAGAAAAAAATTCAAAATATTTCTTTAATACCCCCAGTTTTCTTGCACTGTTGTTACTGCTTTTTAATACACATTCTGTTTTTATTTTTCCCTAGACATGAAATAAACAAATTATGCAGGACAAGAAAGAAACTTGGACTTGTGATTTTTTTTAACTTTATAAAACAATTGAATTAAAAATTATACCTTCCTGGCTATTTATGGTTCTGCAGCCTATTTTATAGGAATCAGTAGCTTCAGCCCTTAAAAGCTCTCCTGCAAGACATTTGTTACGTGAAGGAGAATTTATGTGCTGAGAATAGTTTCATTCTTCAGTTAGGCCTTACGGTTGACCCTATAAAATGTTTTACTCAGGAAGGTACAAAAATTTCTTCTCTTTAAATACTTCAGGAAAAACATAACCATTTTACTAAATAAACTTGGCCATTTGATAGCATAAATTAGCGAGGTGATAAAATGTGGAAATTGTTCAAAAGCATCTTGTATAAATTACCGTCTTGGCTACAATCCTGCAGGAGGTGTCTTTTATCTTTTCTTTAACTAGATGGGAAAAAGTCTCCATTACTGGAGAAAATGAAGGCTTTTTTAAAAAAAAAAGTCCAGATTCAGCTAATAAATATTTTATAACTGTTTCCTGCAAAATATCTGAAATCTTTTCTAGAACTTGCAGTGTGAAACAACAGCTTAAAGAAAAATATCAGTAGGTCCAAATCAGATCACATGTAGATCTGTCACCTTCAGAGCATCCCTTTAAACCTTAGGGTTATATATTTGTGAGGATCAATAACTTCTCCCTAAAAATTTGATCTGTGGGTTTGTATTTGAAGCATCATAAAGTTTACACTGCTAAAGCAAATAATGCACTGATGCTTATCTCCACAGCTAATAAATTTCTAGGTCCCATAGATGCTCAGGAATTACCTCTTTGTAAATTCCCCTTGAGATCACTCCAGGACTACTTTGGTATCCTGAATATTTAAAACTACAATTACGAAAACTCATCTATGTGGTTTAACAAAGCAGTTTATACAAAACTGTGTCCTAACTTCTTTAGCTTAAAAAAGCTTGTTTCTAGAAAGTCATAAAAATTGAGTATTAGTACAAGCTAAAAATAGAGTAATCAGCTAAACAGCACCCAGTGTTCATAAGTTGAGTATTAAATGAAACCTGCAGGTTATGTGGGGCTTTGGGACTGACCAGGCTGCCAAACTTCTCCCCAATCAATACTTTAATGTACATAAAATATTGCTGAGTAGAGTGGTCTTGGATCTGGTTTGTAGTCAGCCACAGATAGCATGTCTCGTTTGGAAAAAAATCACTTAGTGGTAAACAACTTTAGAGCTAGGAGAGGGTTTAAAGCTTTGTATTCCAATCCTCACTTTGTGTGAAACTGCAGTCCAGGGAGCTTCAAACATTTACTCAAGGTTAGTGGGTTGTAGTCACAACCCAGTTCTCCTGATCTCCAATCCAGTGTCCTTACCACAAAATAGTCCTCTCTATGGGGCACACTGATTCCATCCGAAGCCAGACTCTGTCCTTCATGCTCAGGGCAGCCCAGGGCAAGCAGGGGGAGATGGTTTTATCTGCACGCACAGGTCACTTACCATGGGTCTTTAGAGAGCTCTCGCCATGTTGTATAGGGGGGTGTGACTCTGTGAGGGGGTTTTCTCTAGTCTTAGTTCATAGCTCATGACTTGGGGATGGAGGGAAAGTAGCGTGTGGAGTCTAAGCTATTAAAGATAGACCCTATCTTTAATACCAGCATTAAATACAGATTATCTGTATTAAATAAAACTGTATCTGACAATCACAAGAGATGTTCGTGTGCTGTTTGACACTCAGGAATCAGGCATTTCCTATCGTGGAGCTATATATTTCATGAAAAGCACAATGTTACCTAGATTAACAAATTGCTTAGCACTGAGATGGCTGAGGAAATAGTGGTGAGGCCTTGAGAATGTGCTAGTTGAGTGAAAGGCCTCATTTCTATGATCTGGAGGACTTAGTTATCTGATGTATGGAAGTGATATCTGAATCACTTACGGTAGGAGATACATACATTTATTATGTATTTAGAGTAGTCACCCTTGTTTTAAAACATACATATATCCACGTAAGTAGCCCATAATGAAGTTATCCTGTCTCTCTAAGTGTCCATTCATTAAGTGTATGTAGGGGCTTTAAAATAATGTCTGGTGCTGATACTAGCTCCATATACTGTAGCGCCCTGTGAGATCACCTTCCTGTGATCATCCTGCAGGCTGGGCTGAGAAGCCAGGGCTGCCCCCTCTTCCCCAGAGCCCACCCTGGCTGCCCTGGGTGTGGTGATCATGCCTCTGAGAGAGAAGTCAGTTTTCTTAGGATGAGTGCGCTTCTCAGCTGGCTGCCGAGGCACCGAATGATGGATAGAAATGCCTCTTTACAGGGCGTGCTCTTGTGGCAGAGCTCTCCGCATCAGAGGGAGAGTGGTGTAACAGGGAGAGAGGATAAGCTCCAGATCACAGCAAAACCTTGCACTCACAGCAGCTAGGATGGACTCTCTCCACCCCAACTTCCTGGTACAAGGGTACAGCTTTTTATCCCCTGAGATCAGCTAAGTTTTCTGAGAACGTTAACAGGACATCCTGCGTGGTTTCCATCCTCTTGTGCTCCTGGTGACAGAATGGTAGCTCATCTCTGAACCATTTTTTTTTCTGTTTGTGCCAAGCTCCTCACCTGCCAATGTGGGGAGCCACTTGTCAACACCAGTGGTGTTTTCTGAGCTGCTTATTATGGCTGTAAACTCCAACTGCTCCTAACTGAGCTTCTTGTGTTCACCCCCATCCTGACCCTTCCATTTAGAATGGGTTTGGAAGCCCTTGTGGAGTCATATGCATTCTGGAGACCTTCACTACGGACCCTCACCTTTGAAGATATCCCTGGAATTCCCAAGCAAGGTAAATCACAAAGTCTTATGGGTCAGGGACTTCCCTGGTGGTCCAGTGGTTAAGACTTCACCTTCCAATGCAGGGGGTGCAGGTTCGATCCCTGGTCTGGGAGCTAAGATCCCACATGCCTCCTGGCCAAAACACCAAAACATAAAACAGAAGCAACAGTGTAACAAATTCAATAAAGACTTTAAAAATGGTCCACATCAAAAAAAAAAAGACTTAAAAAAAAATGAAAAAAAAAAAAAAAGGCTCCTGGGTCATGTATACAGCCAGGTCCTGCCTAGATGCTCAGGCACTGAAAACTGCACAAGTCATTGCTTGTCCTCTATAATGGCGACCTCATTACCAACATCCTCCCATTATAGGATCCCTCTCTTTTCTGTCTGGTATGGGGATGGGCCAGGAAAACGGCCGTTGTGGTCAAAGGTTAAGTCTTGGATGTTTTAGGCTGTTTATATATTTCGTAACCTTTACTTTACCCTAAATCTCTTCTTAAAATTAGAGGTAGACTAGTTGGCCCTGGTACCAGGCGTACTTCACAGATAATTGCCGATGCTGGTCCCGGTTTCCCCTTTCTTGCCAGCTTCCTCTTCCTTCAGCAGAATTGCCTCTAGGCAGGGTTCTCTTGTATTTATGATGAGACGGTCAGGCACACTGAGGCAACCTTCCCTGCGCTCCCCTTTGAGTATTTCCTACGAGCCCAGGGCTGGTGTTTCCTCAGAGGGAGCAGCACGGAAAGGGATGACACTTCCTTCTCTACTTGGTAGGTAGGACTCGCAGCCCACTCCTACACTCAGGCATTTTACGTCTGATCCTGCCCAGCACCCCGTTGAGAATTTAGCATTGCTGGGTTTTAGATAATTATGATTGGGCACATTGGGCTTTTAGATTATTTTAAGAAGCTGTATAAAACACTGTCACTAGAGCAATGAAGGTTTTACAACCTATCCAGCCCATTGGAATTCTCTTCTCTCCCTAAGTTCCGTCAAGTTGCAAACATCAATCTGTCAGCAAATCCAGAGGGGGGAGTCAACCGCCACAACTGTTATTGATTGGATGCAGGGTTAACCCCCCTCTCTATTTCACAAGGCTGTTTATTTGCTGGACCTCTGCTCTTGTGTTAGCATGTGATTCGCCAAACCATTTTCTGTTTGGAAATGAGATTTGTATACATGTAGCTGATTCACTTCATTGTACAGCAGAAACTAACACAACATTGTAAAGCAACTATACTCCAATAAAAAAAAATAAAGTTATAGACTGTTGCCTTATTTCAGTAGCCCTGAGTGGTACAGTCATTGATGCACACAAGCTTGCAGTGGGAAGTTGCAAGTTTGTTTGAGGCAGGATGTGTCTTTGACCAATTTGGCTCTTTTCTTTGAATTCCTTCTTTTTTGGCAAGAAAATATATTGCTCCAGAGGAAGCTCTGCTGAAAGAAAGAGTAAAAGTTGGATAGGGGCTTCCCACTTCCCTGGTGGCGCAGTGGTTGAGAGTCCGCCTGCCGATGCAGGGGACACGGCTTCGTGCCCCAATCCGGGAAGATCCCACATGCCGCAGAGCGTATGGGCCCGTGAGCCATGGCCGCTGAGCCTGCGCGTCCGGAGCCTGTGTTCCGCAACAGGAGAGGCCACAACACTGAGAGGCCCGCGTACCGCTTAAAAAAAAAAAAAAAAAAAAAGAAAGAAATAAAAAAAAGTTGGGTAGAAGTGAGGTGATGGAACTTTTGGAACAAGATACAGAGTAAGATGAAATTTATATTTTCTAAAGTTGCCAGGAAAGTCAGTATTTGTAGTGTTTATTATTAAAAAATGAGAAAACTTTGAGAAAGCTAATTGAGGAAGAAAATGTGAAAATTCTATGTGATAGTGTCCTAATATCTTCTGGAAAAAATAAAAGTCACTCCTTGGGGAGATAATTTCCTTGAAAATATTGAGAGGATCTATGTTTAAAATATTTCAGTCTGAATTCAATTAAATTACAATTCCTGAGAGCGGAGAACATCTCCTTTTCGTCTTTGTACCCGCCCCTTGTAACAAGTCCATCTAGCTCATGTGTACACAGTTGAAAGGAAAAGATGCTCTTTACATTTCAATTTCTTTTGTAGGAAATGCAGGTTCCTCCACCTTACTCCAAGGTTCTGGGAATGGCGTTGCGGCCACCCACCCTCATCTTCTGTCCGGCTCCCCTTGCTCGTCTCCAGCCTTCCATCTGGGACCCAACACCAGCCAGCTGTGTAGTCTGGCCCCGGCTGACTACTCCGCATGCGCCCGCTCTAGCCTAACCCTCAACCGATACAGCACGTCCTTGGCCGAGACCTACAACAGGCTCACCAATCAGACGGGCGAGACCTTTGCCCCGCCCAGGACTCCCTCCTACGTGGGCGTGAGCGGCAGCGCCTCGGTGAACATGTCCATGGGCGGCACGGATGGGGACGCCTTCAGCTGCCCACAGACCAGCTTGTCCATGCAGATTTCCGGGATGTCCCCCCAGCTCCAGTACATCATGCCTTCACCCCCCAGCAACGCCTTTGCTGCTAACCAGACACACCAGGGTTCCTATAACACGTTCAGGTTACACAGCCCCTGTGCCTTGTATGGATATAACTTCTCCACATCCCCCAAACTGGCTGCCAGTCCTGAGAAAATTGTTTCTTCCCAAGGAAGTTTCTTGGGGTCCTCACCAAGTGGGACCATGACGGATCGGCAGATGTTGCCCCCCGTGGAAGGAGTGCACCTGCTTAGCAGTGGGGGTCAGCAGAGTTTCTTTGATTCTAGGACCCTAGGAAGCTTGACTCTCTCATCATCTCAAGTGTCTGCACATATGGTCTGATGAAGCCTTTAAGTTAAACTACATTGGAATCTGGCTAATGTATATTCTTTCTTCGTTTTCCTTGTCTTTTCTTTTTGGAAAGCAATATGAAAAGAAACTTATCAGTAGCTTGTAAAATGTACATATAATAGAAAATGAAGGCTCACTGAGCTTTTTTGACATTCTCATGGTGAGATTGTAATTATCTTTGGTACATATGTATACTGTATATGGCATGTGGGGTTTTGCAGCCTACAAAACCACATCCTCCTTCTATTCCGCCCCCCCAGTTACACAGAGTATCGGCATAAATGTAGTATGTTTAACCAAAGTTCTCATACTTTTTAAAAAACCAAACAGCAAACTTAAAACTTGGCAATGACACAAACCAGACTAAGACGTATAACTTAATTTATCAGGAAAATGCTCTACACAGTTTCCTACTTGAGGGTTGATAACCAGCAGTAACCAGCACACAGAGTCTTGTGATTTCTGTTATTCTTGGGCACAATGTGAGAACCTAAGTCAGTAGAAGTCTTAGTAATAGTACTGAGGTATCTGTAATCATGAAGGATTAGCTTTTGTGTTCCTACTTGCTCTTATTTATCACAGGTATTAGGTGACTTTGGTCCTATAAAAATTCATAATCCGTAATAATTACTTTCTTAAGGAAAATGGAAAGGCTTGTGACTTTTTTCACTTTCTATTGGATATGTAAAAGGTATTTATTCATCTGCAGAGAATAAATTTCCAGTATTTTGGATTTTTTGCTCATTTTATTTAGTATCAAGTAGACTATTAAAGAATGTCCTATATACATTTTTAAATTCCAGTTTTCACCAGGGAAGGAATATATGATATGACTGGAATGGCAAAAAGAAAATAAATCCACCTCAAATTCTTTGATTCCAATGAGAAATGTCTAGCTTTTTAAATCAAGAAGAATAATATTGTTAGCTATCCCTTAGGTTTTTATAGTGTTTTTTTTTTTTTAATTCAGGATTTTTTCTCACCTTGCTTTGAGATTCCTGACCCATGGTCTATAAGTAAGGGAAAAAGACATTTATGCTACTTATTTATGTCTCATAACTCCTACAAATTGAAACCTTCCCCCTGCCTGAACCTTGTCCCTTTGTCTGAAGTCTTTCTCAAAACAGATAGATTCTAGGCCTTCATGGTGTTAAATAACGCTGTAAGGAATTTCAGGGGGTTATCTCCAGCAATCTGTCTTTTGGGGGTTGCAGTGCAAAGGCCAAAGCCCATTGCTATAAAGTTCCTCTTGGAAGACTAAGGAGGAAGATACCAATTATGATAAAGGAGCTGTAAAACTTTTAACCTCAGCATCATTTTTAACCTCAAAACTGAAAAAAAAATGAAAACAGCATTATTTTTTTAAAAACCCCTAAAACAATGTATACAGGGTTTCGAAGCATGTAGTAACTTTGATAGCACTTAATGAGATGAATAGGAAAGGCTAAGAATGCAAGGTGAAGAGCATTACCATATGTCTATTGAGGATAAAATCATGTGTCTGTCCATTGACTCACTACATTTCATATATTTGCCAAGCGAAAGCAGTGTCTTTCAGTGCTAAACAGAATGGCTTTAACCGATCCCTAGGTTAGATGGGGCTAGGGCGAAGTTCCTGATTTGCTTCTTTACTGTAAAACAGCATGGCTGTTACATATTGAGGGAGATTACTATTTAAACAGTATTTGCACAGAATGTGACTCTGTTTATATATACTGATAAATTTCCTCATGGGTTCTCTGTAACAGTTCGTCCAATTAGTATTGATCTTTAAATTTAAAATTAGCATGAAGGCACATGACATATATCCAATAGGTAGATCTACATAAGATGTTTGTGTATGGTATTAATAACTTGACAAAGATTTGGGAAACGTCCTTATTATGAGTACATCCCAGCCTCAGTGCTTGGTATAATTTAAGGAGAACAAGAGAGTTTTCCATCTGGAGAAAACATAGAAAGTAATGATCTATACCTATATGCATTAATAAGATGAGAATATTCCTTTTTGCTCTTTGTGATTTGAGATGACACCGCAATACAAGTAGCATTTTTAATTAATCTTTTCGATTTAGCGATATTGTACAAATGCTGTTTCCTTTAGGCTTTACTGTAAATATTAATCATCATGTCACTTCAAAGACTAGCCTTTTATCATTATATTAAATGACATACAGGCATTGATAATTATAATTATATATCTGTATTTTATTAAAAAATGCTTAAGAAATTATATATTAAAGTGTGTTACTAAACACTTTTATGGCTTTGGAGGGGAATCATTTGAAGTGTCTATAAATGTTGTTCCAAGAACAGGCCCACACATGCATGCTCCAAACACAAATTTTGTAGCTTATGATTACAAGGCATGGGGAAATGGGCCTGGTATTCATTTTTGATGTGTTCAATATAATTTCTTGGTGCTTTGACCATGTCATTGAAGGTGAAGACCTGACAAATGTTGAACACATGAAAATTCACATGTGAGAAGAGGAGGGCAGAGTGGGCTGTTTTGTTTCGGGTCCGGGGGGGCGGGGAAGGGCAAGGATATAAGAATGAGCTGCTTGTACTACTGACCAGTGATGACAGATCACTTTTAGACCTCTTACTCAGAAAACATTCCAAGGGACATTGTGATGAGGTGAGGTTGCTGCTATCACAACCAGTCACATTTTGAAAATTAACACTTGCTTCCATACAAGCTCCCTCCCAGAGGTCACCAGCTTTTCACAAGCAGGGCACCCACTTGCTGACCCCTGATTTTTGGAATGTAGGGGGTCAGGAGACTTTGGTGGCCCCCAGAGAAGATTGGGGCACAGTGTTGCTGATATAGCAAAGGATCACACTCACTCTTTATATTAGTGGAATTTTGAGCAAAATGCACCTCGCTTTTAAAATGTGAATTCCTCTTGAGACCTCACTCCCTGGATTTAAACCTATTAGCAACTCACACCTTAGTATGAAATAGATAAACAGAAGTTTTAGAGATAGCTGGAGGTTTGATTAAGAGAAAGGAGTAATTTTTGGAGTAGGGAAGTTCTGGGAAAATATGAATGTGAAGGAGAAGGTGCAAGAAAAGTGATCACTGACCAAGCCTGGTGTAAAGCCATTATACCAGCCATTATTTAATTTCATGAGTTTCTTTCAGGGGTCATGGTAGACTTGGTGGATGCTATGCCAATGCTGTCTTTAATTAGACAGGTTTGTAAAGAATCCTTTATTTCAAAGTGTAACTCTGCTGGGTTTCCTCATGGGGAGTTTATTGACTCATCTGCATGGAGATTTTCTTAAGCCTTCCATTGGTAATTAAGTTATTTTATTAAATTATTACCATATTGTGTTTTAATCTCATTGATCATCATTCCTTAAAATATGTGCTCAGATAAACAGTAGGTGAGGTTGAACATGTGAACAGTTAAGTAGACATGTGTGATTATGGCCTTCTAGGAGCTTAAAACTTGAAAACAATATCAGTGATGGAAATGAACAAATATATATATGTATATATATATATTTCAAGTATAGAAACATCCAACAGATGTTTATAAACTTAGTACCCATCTACATGCTGATAGATTTTCAAATGGTGAATTTTCTGTTTTTGGAATTTTGCTATGGTGAGATCATCACTTCCTTGAGAATAGGGAACTTGGTTTCAAACAATGGGTTTCCCAATCATGATTTTGGACAAAAGGTAACTGCTTTAGATCTCAGTTATTTTGTATGTGAAGGAAGTGTCTGGGATGAGAATCTGTACTATTCCTTTCAGTTTCAAATTCATATGACCTTAGTGCATAAATAATATTCAGCTTGATAGTAGGAAAATAGCTTTATAAAAATATATCTTTGGGAGATATGTACATATATTTGGATATATATATTTCCAAGAGGTATGTTTTTATAAAACTATTTTAGATATATATCTATCTTTATAAAGAACATTACGCCACCAGGATTATTTAAAATTTATTGGATTACTTAGAGTTTTTAAAAAATGGAACTGTGCTTTATTTAGTTATAATATATAAGACATTCTTTTGTATATTAGTATTTGAAGGAAGCCGCACTTAATTATGTATTTGCTACTTTATAGTGAACAGAGAAAGATGTTAATAAAATTCCCTTTTCATGATGCTCTTAGTGGCATGGCATAAAATTGTTTCACTTTGGAAATAAGTGAAATAATTATGGAATCTAGTAAAATATTTAGAGATCACTCCAAGCCATTCAAAATTCATTTAAATCTTCACTGAGAAAAAAACATGAATTTGTCTTTTTGAAGGGTTTTATTCATGCTGAGACTCAGATACGAAATATAAAAAAGTTGATTACTCTGCAATTCATTGAGTTTCCACAAGGCTGGATCAACATACCAATCCTTTGTTCATTTAAAAAATTATACTAATTTTAAAATAATATTTTAAAACTATATTAATTTTAAAATATTTGATAATTTTAAATTTTTAAAATTATATTAATCAGGTCACTAGAATAACAATAAAAAAGCAAAGACATTTTTCTAAATAACAGCTTTATTGAGATATAATTCACAAACCATACAATTCACCTGTTTAAAGTGAACAATTCAGTGGTTTTTAGTGTGATAAGAGTTGTGTAACCATCACCACAATCAATTTTAGAGCATTTTCATCACCCTACAGAAAATTCCATGCCCGTTAAGTCACCCCTTTTCCCTCTACTCTTTCTTTAACCCAAAGTCCTAGGCAACCACTAATCTACTTTCTGTCTATAGATTTGCCTATTTTGGGCTTCTCATGTAAATGGAATCATACAATATGTGGTCATTTGTGACTGGCTTCTTTCACTTAGCATAATGCTTTCAAGGTTCATTCATGTTGTAGCATGTATCGGTATTTAATTTCATTTTCTTGCTGAATAATAGTCCATTGTAGGTATACACTACATTTTATTTATCCATTCATTGATGGACATTTGGATTGTTTCCATTTTTTGGCTATTAGGAATAATGCTGGTAAAAACACTGGCGTACATGTTTTTGTGTGGACATATGTTTTCATTTCTGTTGAGTATATGCCTGGGAACGAAATTACTGGATCCTGTTGTAATATTTTGTAGAACTTCCAGACTGTCTTCCCAAGTCATTGCACCATTACACATTTTTACCAGCGATGTGTGAAGGTTCTGATTTTTCCATATCCTTACTAACAGTTGTTATTATCAGTCTTTTTGGGTATAGCCATCCTAGTGGGTGTGAGTGATATCTCATTGTGGTTTTGATTTTCATTTGCCTGATGACTGAAGATGTTGAGCATCTTTTCCTGTATATCTTCTTTACAGAAATGTCTGTTCAGATCCGTCACCCATCTTTAATTGGGTTGTCCTTTAATTATTGAGGTGTAAGAGTTCTTTATCTATTCTGGATACAAGTCTCATCAGATATATTTCTTGCAAATATTTTCTCCCATTTGGTGGGCTGTGTTTTAACTTTATTGCTCATGTCCTTTGCTTCACAAAAGTTGTTAATTTTGAAGAGACTCAGTTTATCTATTTCTTTCTTTTGTTGCTTGTACTTTTGTTATGTGG